TAATTTCAATTTAATTTCAATTTAATTTCAATTTAATTTCAATTTAATTTCAATTTAATTTCAATTTAATTTCAATTTAATTTCAATTATTTCTATTTATTTCTATTTATTTATTTAGCAAGCTGATCTTGATACAGATTCTCTAATGGATAATCAGATAGTAACAACCACTACATTGGCTTCAAATGCAACATCCACTCAACCTTCAATATCTCCAACCAATCAACAAAATTATGTGAATAGTGGCATCAATCGTTATCCTCAAACTCAAGCTCAGCAACAGCATCAACAAACTCGACAACCACAAAATCGTTATTATACTCCAAATTCTTCGCCTAGTACTTCTATTAATAGTATCACTAATTCGGCTGCTGCTCATTCAACCGTTTCTCCTTCCGTGAACGGTTCAATCACTCCTAAACGTCAGTCGACTGATACTAATCTCTATGGCACGAGTAGTATTTCTGGAATGGCTGCTCAACATGCTCAACCAAGAAATGCTACTATATATAATAATAGCCTTAATAGTAATTATATGATGAATAGTCAGCATGGTCAGCAACAACAGCAATCTTATACCGCTCAACAACAACAACAGCAACAACAATCTCATGTTACTCCACAACAACAACAACAATCTTATGCTACTCAACAACAACAAACTGCTCAACAACGTTATAATTCTACTGATAGTTTCATTTCTCCAAATGTTGTCAGTAATATAAGTACCGGTTATTCATCTCAGCAAACTACCTCCTCTAATGTTCAGCAACCTCAACAACAATTTCAACATCAACAACTTCAACAGCAACAATTACAGCAAAGTCAGGGTCATCAACAAGCGAGCCGGAGTCCTTATCATACTTCTCCTAATATTACCGCTCAACAGCAGCAATCATTACATAATAGGTCTTCTATTAGTCAAAATCAATCTTCTATTAAATCTTCTCCACTAATAACGAAACCTGCAAATCAAAAAACTATGGTACAATCTGGTGTATCTGCTCAACAAGTTTTGCCTCCTCAACAGTTGCATTCGCAACAACAATCTCAAATTCAACAACAATCTCAATTGCATCAACAATCGCAGCAATTGCATCAACAATCGCAATTACATCAACAGCATTCTCAATTACAACATAAACAACAGCAGCAGCAACAACAACAATTGCAACATCCACAACCGTTGCATCATCAACAGTCACAACAATCTCAACCACAACAATCTCAACAGTTGCATCAACAGCATTCTCAATCGATGCAGCAGCAACAGCAGCAGCATCATTCTCAACAGCAACAACAATCTTCTTCGTCGCAATCTTCTGATCCTCCTCAGATGCAACCTTCTCAAAATAAATCTACTCCAAAACAAATGGTGCGTACTAATATGATTGCTGGTGGTAATGCTCCATCACAACAACAACAACCTTCAAGTTTTCCTCAGACTAATGTTGCTGCTCAGGCAAAACCTTCAAAGAATGCTCCTGCGAATACTACTCCTACTCCTGTACCAAAGGCAAATACTTTACCTGCTCAAGATGTAAAAAATCCAGATGTTTCTTCTGGTATTTCTTCTACAAAAGATCAAAAACCAAAAAGACCTATGAATGCGTTCATCATTTTCTCTAGTGAACGTCGACCGGAATTACAAAAGAATGATCCTAATATGCAAACTGCTCAAGTTAGCAAAATTTTAGGTGAAGAATGGCAAAACATGGATAGCGTATGTATTAATAAAAAGAGAGTGATATATATATATATATACATATACCTCACATATATATATATATATATATATATCTCACTCTCTCCTTTTATTTTTTTTATTTATTCATTCATTTATTTATTTTATTTTATTTGAATTCTAAATAGGCTCGAAAAGATCACTATAATGAAAGAGCTCGGCAATTAAAAGAGGAATTTAAACAATCAAATCCTGATTTTGTATATACACGTCGTGGGACTACTGCTGCTTCAAAAAAGAGGGGGTCAACTTCATCTGCAACTCCATCTGTTAAATCGCCTACAGATACAATAGCTGTTCCACCTCAGGCTACTAATGTGCCAATAGTAAGTCATTAGTTATTATATTTCATTCGTTCAATCAAATGATATTTTCATATACAATTACTCATTTTCTTTCTCAATTAAAATTAAATTTTATTTTTTAGTCTAATGGTTCAGTTAACGGAGTAACCCAACATAATTCAAATAATGTATATTCTTCTCCACATCAACATACACCTACGCCTTCCTCAACCCCTACTCAACAACCAAGAAGTACTCCGGCTACTGCAACTTCACAGGTATATTATCGTATTACAATATCAATTTAGTTACTTTCCTTGTGATTCAATTATTTAATCGGTTATTTCTATCTAAAATTTCTATCTAAAATAGACTCAATCCACTACACAGCAACCTCAGCTACGGACTCCTCAAACTATTGGAACTACTTCAACTACACCCATCTCATCTGCTAGAAGAGATCGTAAATTGAGGAGACCTATGAATGCATTTCTAATATTTAATAAAGAAATGCGACCAAAAGTTTTAGAAATGAATCCTAATATGAGTGTTGCGGAGATTTCAAAAACAATCGGAGAGAATTGGCGTAATATGTCTGAGGTAAATCCTTTCATATTGTCATTTTAATATTTTAATATATAGCTTGTTTATATATATATATATATATATATATATATTATTTTATTTATTTATTGATTTATTTATTTTTATTCTTATTAGGATGAAAGAGAGAGATACCTTCAGAAAGCTCGTGATTTAAAGAGTGAATTCCATGAATCACACCCTGATTTTGTTTACACTCGTAGATCAAAGGCTGAGCTTATTGCTGCTGGTCATCATAGCTATTCCAAAAAACGTAGTTTCCCTCAAAATGAAAATTCTGATTCTGAAGAAGATCCTCGTTCTTCACATGGAACTAATAATCGTGATGGTTCACCATCAACTTCTCCACAAAAAGATCCTCGAGGTCGTAAAAAGAAACGAAGTCGTCATCCAACTGCTCCTAAACATCCAATGTCTGGTTTCTTATTTTATGCATTAGAAATGAGACCTCATGTTGCTGAACAAAATCCTGGTAGTACGGTCGGTCCAATTAGTAAAATTATTGCTGGTCATTGGAAGAATTTAACACCCGAACAAAGAGCTCCTTGGGAGAAAAAGGCTTCTGATGACAAAGCTCGATATGCGAGAGAAATGGAGCAATATCTACAATCTCAAAAAGATGAAGAGTAAAAAAAAATTGGTTTGATTTGCTGTTGAAATAGATAATTATGCTAATGTTGAAAGTGGTTATAATTTTTGATGGAGGTTATAATGGTTTGTAATAAGATTAATTAGAATAATTTTGATTTTTCTTTTTTTTTGAGCATTTTCTTTTTTTCATTTTTTTTCCTTCTGGCGAATTATAATTCGTCATTTTGTATAGTTTTGTTATGCAAGCAAAAAAAAAAAAAACAGTTGTAAATTTTTTCCTCGTTTATCTTGTTTGTAGTTAGTTTGATATATATATTTTTTTGATTGGAGGTTTTGTGAATAAGAACGAAATTATGAATTAGTTAATAATTGATAAAAAAAAATTTTTTTTTTTTTATCGCTGTTTATATTTTTCATAACAAAAAAAAATCATTAATATGAGAAGATATTTTCTTTTGCATGAGTATTAATACAGTAATATACACAACTGGGTCGGGTTTAGTGCTAATGAAGCTTTATAAAGCTTTTCATCATAACTTCCATGGTATTTTAAAATTACACAAAAAATTTTTCCTTTTTTCTTTTACACCACCACCTTTTTTTTTTATCAGTAATTGTGAATAAAAACAAAAAAAGAATTTTGAACATTTTTTTAAACTTTTTTTTTTGAATGCAATGAAATTTTATAATATCGATTTATTTATTAGAAAATGCGTTTTTTTTTTTAAGTTCTTTTTATTTTATTTTATTTGTTTAATTAAAAGTATATATATACTATATACTTACGTACGTACGTACGTATAAAACTTGTATATAAATATTATGCTTTTTTTTAACGTTAAAAACTTTTAATATAAATAGTAAATTTATTATTTCCAGTTAACCCGTGATATTAAATTGTGTAACGAGAAACTCGGAAATTTTTTATACATATTTTTAAGTAATACCGATACGTTAGAAAATTAATTATCGTTTACGTACGTACATATTATTTTCGGTAATCAAATACTGTATATATAAACGATAATTTAAAAATATAAATTATTTAAATTGTTAAATTATAACACTAGATGTTTTTGACTTGCGTATCTATTATACTGTATATTTAATTAATTTTAACTAATTTTACTTATACAATATTATATAATTTTTATTAAACATTAAATATTTATATAGTATATGCTGTATATAAAACTTGATATTTTTTTATATATAGTTTGGTTAGTAATTTTATTGGTTTGTTATTTAGTACAAACCAATAAATCTTTAATATTAAAACTTTATATTTTTTGGCTGTTTTTAAATGTTTAAAAGCAACTTGCTGTTTACAGTATTTATAATAAAATTTGAACCTTTGTTTAACTATTGCTTTATAATAAAAAATTATTAATTTAAAATATATATTATTAAATTTGTGTAATATGTAAATCAAATCAATTTTTATAAAAATAAAAATTAAATTTATTATTAAGTAAAGATAAAGATTTAAAATTAAATTTATATAAGCAAAACTTTTTAATATATTGTATAGTTAAAAGATAGTTAAAAAATATTGTATTTAAAAAGATATATTTAAAAAATAAAATTTATAAATATTATTTAAGTTAAAACAAAATAAGATTATGTAATTAGTAATTTTTAATTTAAAAAATATATATTTAAAATATAGACCACCAAAATTGGTTTTGAAAAAAGCTTATTTTGTCTTTATTAAAGCAAATTAATTTTTTTATATAAAAGCAAATTTAATTTATATAGTTATATTATTTATAATTTTGTCTCTTCAAAAAAAATATTAAAAAATTTTATCTTTTAAGTAAAATAGATTAAAAACAATTCATTTTCAAATTTTAATTTTAAGTTTTAGACACCAAAATAATTTCATTAGTATATATAATTTAGAAAGGTTTAATTATAATAAAATTTAGTAAAAAATTTTTTTAAAACTTTAAAAATAAGCTTATAAACAAATTTAAAATATAATTAAAATAATTATTATTTATTACTATATATTGTTAGAAGCTATATAATCAATTTGTTTTTTATATTTCTTTTATTTTGTTTTTTTGCTTTTTTGTTTTCTAAATTTTTTTTTAATTTTTCTTATTTGCTTTATTTTTTATTTTATTTTATTTTATTTTATTTTTTTATTTTATTTTATTTTTATTTTTTAAATCACTATAATACTATAACTTTATTTATGCTATAATATATATTTTACAGTTTTAGTACATGAGTTGTGCTTATATATACTGATAAAAGTATTTTAGAATCTAAAATTCAAAATTAAAATTTAAAAATAAAATTGTTTTTAACCTGTTTTACTTAAAAATTTTTTTATTTTTTTTGAAAAAATAAAATTATAAAGAACATAACTATCTAAATTAGATTTGTTTTTGTATATAAAAAATTCTAATTTGCTTTAATGAAAGACAAATTAGAGATTTTTTTAAAATCTATTTCAGTAGTATATATAGTTATACTATATTATTTCTAATATCATCTATTCTAATTGATTTAGTTGTAATTTTTTCTAATTTAAAACTAATTTACAATATAATATGATCTACTAATTTTAGAATAGAGTACAATCCTCTATATTAGAGTTTTCTATATCCACAATCTGAACAATCTAGACTTTAATAATTTATCTCAAGTTCAAGAACAAGTACTTGCAGCTTTTTATTTTTGCTACTATTATCTACTTCAACAGATTAACACTTTTTTCTCTGTAATATTATTGGATATTTGTATTACTTCTCTATTTAGAATTTGCCAAGTAGGCATTCACTATCATATCAATTCTGTGTTTTCTATAAATCTAAGAACTTATCAAGAATTTGTATCAACTAAACTAGCTTGTATATCTTTGTATAATTTTTTATTACACAAATACTCTGAGATTTTTTAATTCTGGCTTTTTCTGATAAACTAATCATTATTACTAATATAATTACAGTTACAGGGTTTTAAGTTTTTTTAATTATGACAATAGTTATCAAATTTATTTTTTCAAATTTCAAATTTTATCTTCTATAAAAATTAAACTTGTATTTAATTGCTAGAAGTATAACAACTTAATCATTTTACTAAGTTATTACACTAAATTTTTTTAATTATTTATTTTATTTTATTTTATTTATCTAATTAATAAAATTTTACTAATTATAACTGATAGTAATCATCACTAGTATATAATTAGCCTATAAATTGCAGGATCAGATATAATATATAAATTAGTTTATGTAATTAAAATAAAGATTTTTTTGCTGATATCTTAAGAATTTAGCTATAAAACTACCTTTCAACATTCTAACAAACAATTTTTATAGCAACACTCTCCCTGACGATCACTTGTACCAAACTTACGGCTAACAAAAACAGAAACTTGTTAGAGAAAAGAAAAGAGACAACTACAAATAACAGTTTTTATAGAGGTTAAAGATTTCTATGTTTTTTCCGGACTCTTCTGTATATTCAGTATGCAAGTTAAAAGCGTTCCTGTACAAGATAACTGGCGAGAAGGTGGTGCTTTTGTATAGAAAATTTTAATAAAAGCTCTGCTTCTGCTGATGAAGTTAATGATAGTTGGTCTAAGGAGAACAACAAGCGAGTTTTCAACACGTTTTTTACCAAAGTTTAAAGCTACTTGCAAACCGAAACCCTATGCCAAACTCCACTTTTTGTACTTTTCGAAATTTTCACCAAAAAGTGGAAAAAACAGCATACTCTCAACAAAAGATCGACACAATAACAGCTGCTAAAAAAGGAAGTCACATACATGTGTATATGTCTACTTTGGGATGAATAGTGGTAGATAATGTGATAATATTTGAAGCACTGCAGAAGACCTGCTAATCTAGTTGGGATAGTATCAGAAGTTTCAACCTTGGAGTTCTACTTCAAGACCGGATGGTTTTTAAGATTTTTATATCCTGGATATAGACATAAATAACTAGCATAGAGTTTAGTCTAGTTTATTTGTAGTACTATATAATTTTTACAATTTAGCACGGGTTTAATAGTGCTATCTTTGTTTTTTTTCTTTGTTTTCTTTTTATTCATTATTTGTTTTATTTGGTTTTATTGATTTAGGTGGACCAGAACTTGACGTCGTAGTATTTCCCTATTTTTATTTTGCCCTTTACATTTGTATTTGTATTTCATATTGAAAAAAAGAAAGCTAACTTTGATATGGTATGTGGCACTAGCCCATAACCAAAGGATAACCTCTAGTAAGTTAGGGGCTCAGAGAGAGGCTTGAAGTCCACTAAGGCAAGTTATATCTGGCGAAAGCGTGGGTATGTCACTTTATGGGTGGATTAGTTATAGCTATTATTAGAGAATGTAAATTTCTTAGTATAATTTAATCTTAATAAAAAGTGGCAGAACAGCTAAATTATAAAAAAAAAACATTTTAGTAAAAAAAATTTCTTACTAAATTTTATATATATTTAATATCTTGCTAAAATCTTAGGCTTTTCTCTAATCTTAAAAATAAATAAAATAAAATATTTTTAGTTTATCATTATTGGCTAATTATATAATAGTAATAATCATTACCAATTATTTTAAATAAAAATTTAAGGGTAGAGTGAAATGATCTACATTTCAATAGTGATCACGTTACTAAAATTTTTTACAATAATATTTAATTAAAATCAGGTGATG